AGTTGTGTTTCAGACTTTGGCTTTGTTAGCCTCCACGAAACCGTGCCTTTTACTAATTATTAGATATGATATAGGAAGTATTTCTTTTTTCCTTCAGGTTGTTAAAATTACTGAAACTGCCTATATGCAATGACCCTTTCGTCGCTACCCACGACCAGGCAGGCAGCCACCCCATCCATCCACCATCACATGTTTTTTATCTCCTCATTTCACCCATCACACCACCTCCTCTGGGTCACAATCATGGAAAAGGCAGGGGGACTCACAAACAGAAAGTAAGATAAATAAGCTTCTGTTCTTAGAATGGGATCTTCTTGCTGATAGACTTCCGTCATTTCCAAGTACTCGGCAGCACAAAACAAGTAGGCCACATTGACTGGTGTGATTAATTTAACCCACATTAATTTATGTCCCCTAAGAAACCTTAATACATCCATAAGCCTACTCTATTGAGGTAACCATGTCATTACTATACAAATTAATACCTTCGTTCTATTCAACAATTCCAAATCCTTTTAAACACTGTGTACAAATTCAAACAATTAATTTATTTCAAGGATAATTTGACTTTTGGTACCACCAAAAGAATACTTTGATTTTTAATACCTATTTAATTTTTTCATTTTATTTTACTACTTATCAAATTCTATAAGTATAACTCTTGGTACCACTTAATGGATTTCGTTAGTGGTCAGCTAATTAATTTTTTTTATTGTTTTGCGTACCGAAAAATATTTCGTTAAGATTTTGGGGTCATTTTAGTCCTTAAGAATTCAAATTATGCCTGGCATTGGCAAATAATATAAGTGTCTCGTTTTACTTTTCATTAATTTTTTTACCTCGAAAATTGTTCAAGTAAGGTTTTGGAGGTCGGTTTAGTTCTTAAGGGATCAAACCGAGCTCGAAATTGGCAAAAAAAACCTTACCCGAACAATTTTCACAACAAAAAAATTTAATTTAACGCAAATTGATACATTTTGTGACACACAAAACGAGACGTTTACGTTATTTGTTTGCCAATTCTGAGCTTAATTTGGAGTCTTAAGGAACAAAATGACCTCAAAAACTTTAACGAAATATTTTTCGGCATGGATAACGAGAAAAAAAATTAATTAGCTGACCACTAACGAAATCCTAACGGAAACCATTAAGTGATACCAAAAGCTATAATTTTAGAATGTGATAGGTAGTAAAATAAAAATAAAGTTTAAATAGGTGCTAACAAACAAGTAGGGTCTTCTGGTCATTGGTGTACCAAAAGTCAAAAGTTTCTTCTTTTAATTTTATTTCGTATTATCAAGGCAAAACATTTACTTATCTAAATGTGGCAAATCTAGCCAAATACGGCAAATAGCAAAAGTCATTCCTAGAACTATTCTTTAGGCTACTCACATCCCATTTAAGTAATAATACATGGAACCCAAGATAAAGATGTAAAATTTAATAAAATAAGATTTACAAATAACAAGATATGCTAAAACACTATATAATCGAAAAACAAAGCACCTGAAGTCCTGAACATTATTCAAGATTTCTTCAATATATAATATATACTCCGGTCAATAGGTGTATATGGTGGCTAATAATAGATTTTTTAAAAAAATAAAACTTACAAATAGCAGTAGGTGCTAGATCTGGCAAATGGGTCATTTGGGTCGGGTCACTTTCGGGTCGGATCATTTCGAGTCAGTTAACATTTGGGTCGGGTTGATTTGGGTTTCGGGTCGAGTTCGGGTCGGGTCAATTTCGGGTCGGATATGTTCGGGTCGGGTCAATTTCGAGTCAAGTATGTTCGGGTCACATTCGAGTCAGGTTAAAATCTGGTCGGGTCATGTTCGGGTTGTTTCATTTGTGAATCAATCTCAAATCAATAATTTTATATGGAGTATATATTTTGTTATTGTTATAATAAAAACTATCAATTCAGTTTATGAGCTTAGTTACGGTTGAAAATGAACAATTTGAGTTATTTTTGGTACAAGACATTTTAAGTTCAATTATAAGGTAATTTTAGTTCGGGGCATTTCGGTTATCGGGTCTGTTTGGGTCAATTTCGGGTATCAGGTCTGTTCGGGTCAAACACTTCGGGTCAATTCGGGTCGGGTTAGTATGGGTGTCGGGTTAGGATCGGGTCAACTCTATTTTCGTGTCGGGTATGGGTTGGGTCAGGTCAATTTCGGGTCAATGTTTTGGGTCAATTCGGGTCATTCGGGTCGAATCATCGGGTCAGGGTCAAAATTGTCAGGTCTAGTAGGTGCATAGTTAGGGATACGACTACTCTCAGTCGGTTAGTGATTACACTTGGTCGATCAGGATTACTCGGTTGGTCTGAAATTACTCAATTAGTCAGAGGTTACTCAGTCAGTGTTTGATGTATGTCAGCTTGCCACACACCAAATTAGGATTTAATATATTCTTACAAATATTAAATTCTAATAATCTTTCTAGCTTCAAGGTTAGAAATCGCTAATTTGAGCCCAAGAGAAATGTTTCGCAACTCTTATTAAAAAAAAATAGAGGGAGTCTAATATTATCGTTTTATTTTTTCCCACTCGTTCCTTATACTCGCCACTTCATTATTTTTAGACAACACATTATCAATTGTCACTTTTTTTTTTGGTCATATGTTGCGACTTTTAGCATTTATGATAAAAAATAAAAGTTGTTTGTAATACAATGAGAACCATAGGAGGGGGGAGATGATATGAAGTGTTTGGGGTCCAAATAACTTATATTTGGGCCCAATCCACAAATAAAAATAAACAAAGCCTAATAGGCAAGGTTCAACCCTCAAACTTTAAAAGCAAAGTCAGGTAAAACAAGGTCCAGTCAAATGGCGGCCCATTTGACTCCTCAAGCCCATTCCACTCAATTGGAACAAGGTATAAAAGCTCACATTCTTGCATAATTACATTCATTCACACAAATTGCCTCAAGCAACAAATACTTTTGCATAGCTATTCTCTCTTGTTCTTACACTCGTACTGACTTCGGCATCGGAGGGGCCTTCCTCGGCACAACCCCCGAGGCCAGTTTACGTTTGTTCAGCCGTGCAGGAAATCCTCAATTCGGCCATTACTCGAATTGGGCTTTATCTCCACTCATCCGAAGGACCTGCCGAAAGTCCCATTGTTTTAACCGAAACAATTTGGCGCCGTCTGTGGGGATTCTTACAAAAATTCAGCTAAAAATCTCATACCAATCTTAGCCAACGCAGAAAATGACTAAGAATGACAAAAACTCCAAAAAAGCAAAAAAATGGGCTTAATCACGGTGAGAACCGACGGAACACCCTCACCGTCGCCTGAGCCATCGGCCTCTAACTCTCCGAGAAGAGAAAATCTGCGCGAGGGATATCCCTCCCGACGGGATCACCAAGTTGGGAACTCGCCGAGAGAGAGAGCGATGCTCATAAGGATAGTCCCTCGCAAAGCATGCATTCAACTCCTCCCACCGTTCCTTCGACTGAAGAGGTGACAAGGGCAGTGGCTGTCTGCATGGAGTTCATGAAAGCCCTAGGTGGACGCCTCCCATCCGTGCATACCACTCCTCCTTCACCCCCGCCGAAGCCAGAAAGCCGAAAGAGGAAACTGACTTCGGGAGGGGAAGGGCGGATTCCACTTTCCAAGGGAGAGGGGAGCGGAAGAGCCGAAAGCCTGGGCAAGACAAGACGGGAACGGCGAGGGGACTCAAGTCACTTCGAAAATTCCCAAATCCGAAACTCAAAGGACGCCCCAAGCAGCCAAAACGCTTCTCGCCGAAGCGTTTACGAATGCTTAGGGGAAAGGGAGAAGGACATTCACAGTCGTCTCACCTATCCTGGAGTTGTCACGTGGAGGGACACTCCTCACTTCCACCTCTCTAAGAGGGAGAAGTGAAGTTCCTTCGGAAAGGCAGAAGGGAAAAGCTGTGATGGTTCCTACCAGTTCGCCTTTCCAGAGGTGGATATTGGAGGAACACGTGCCGACGGTCAAAATTCCGGCACACATCACTTATGATGGTACTTCGGATCCGAAGGACCACATAGTCTCCTACGAGGGGCATATGTACCTTAACCCCAGGTCCGAAGCTACCTGGTGCAAATACTTTCCCACCACCCTTAAAGGTGTCGCCCAGTCATGGATCACCAAAGGGCTGAAAAAAGGCTCGATAACAGGTTGGAATGACCTCTCCAACAAATTCAAAAGTAAGTTTTCTACGGCCAATCGCCGAGAGAAAACTACTACATAACTGATGAGTCTGCAGCAAGCGAAAGACGAAAGTCTCCGAGATTACTTGACTCGCTTCAGCAGCGTGGTACCAAAAGGCCAAAGGGATTAAGTGCTTTGGCTCAGGGGTCCTTAAGAAAAAGATCATCTTTGGGGATTGGAAAGGCTAGTTCCGCGGCTTGGCCGAAAGATTCAGACGGGGATCAACCGAAGAAAGGGAGGTCTGCTGATATTGACAGTAGGCCCGAACCAGAAGAGCCTGGCTCCAAAGCAATGGAGTCAGGTGAACAAACTGAGTGCATACCGTTGACCGAAGGAGATACCGAAAAATGTGTCAACATCGGACAAGGGCTCGATCCGAACGTCCGGGTTGAATTAATCCAAATTCTTCGGGACAACCGAGATGTGTTCGCATTCACAGCAGCTGACATGCCGGGAATGGATCCGAACCTTATCTCTCACAAGCTTAATGTTGACCCCACATGTCGCCCAGTTAAGCAAAAGAAGCGGAATTATTCCGCTCAAAAGAACCAAGACATCGCAGCCGAAGTAAAAAAACTTCTGGACACAGGGTTCATCGAGCCTTGCCAATATCCAGAATGACTGGCGAATGTGGTGATGGTTCAGAAGGATAATGGCACCTAGAGAATGTGCGTTGACTTCACGGACCTAAATAGGGCCTGTCCGAAGGACTTCTATCCCTTGTTGAGAATCGATCAGTTAATCGACTCGACAAGTGGCCATGCTCTGCTTAGTTTCATGGACGCATTTTCTGGGTACCATCAGATCTTCATGCACCCCGATGACAGAGCAAAAACGACATTCGTTACAAGTGTCGGGGTGTATAACTACAAGATTATGCCCTTCGGCTTGAAAAATGCCGGAGCGACATATCAGAGGTTGGTGGACCAAGTGTTCGCCGAACAAAAAGGCCGCAATATGGAAGTTTATGTTGACGATTCCATCGTCAAAAGCAAAGATGAAAAGGACCATGTTGCGGACCTAGCCGAAACGTTCGCCACTCTGAGAAAACATCAAATGAAGCTGAATCCGAAGAAATGTCTCTTTGGCGTGAAGTCAGGGAAATTCCTTGGCTTCATGGTCAGCAAAGGGAGGATTGATGCCAATCCCGCCAAAGTTCAAGCAGCCCTTGACCTTCCCGAGCCGAAAACAAAGAGGGACGTTCAACGTCTCACTGGAAGGATGGTCGTCCTGTCCAGGTTTATCTCAAAAGCCTCGGACAAAGGGTTGCCCTTCTTCAAAGCGCTCAAACTCCCAAAATCTAAAGAGCTCATATGGGAAGAAGAACAAAAGTTAGCCTTCCAACAGCTCCGAGAGCACCTGGCCAATCTCCCAATGCTGGCAAGACCAGCCGAAGGAGAAATCTTGTACTTATACGTGGCAGTTAGCCCTGCCACAGTGAGTGCGGTGCTGCTGAAAGAAGAAGAAAGGGTCCAGCAACCGATCTACTTCTTCAGTCACACGTTGACCGACGCCGAAACGCGCTACCCCTTGCTCGAAAAAGTTGCATATGCTGTGGTAGTAGCGGCTCGGAAGTTAAGGCCTATTTTGACTATCATCAGATAGTGGTCTTGACAGATCAACCGCTGGAAAAAGTCCCCGGCAAGGTTGAAAAGTCAGGTAGACTAACAAAGTGGGCCTTCGAGCTCACTGAGTTCAGCATAAGCTGTCAGCCAAGGGCAGCCATTAAGGCCCAAGCCTTAGCAGATTTCCTGGCCGAGTGTTCCTATCAGGAAACACTCGACGAAGGAAAGAAGATCTGGAATGTATTCACGGATGGCTCAGCCACCGTAAATGGTTCGGGGGCAGGGTTAGTGATTACCTTTCCCGAAGGCAAAAACTGCGAGTATGGATTCAAATTTTCGTTCAAGGATTCTAATAACAAAGTAGAATATGAAGTAGCAATTGCTGGCTTAGAACTGTGCATAGCTCTCGAAGCCGAGCATGTCTGTTTAAAAACAGACTCTCAACTGGTCGCTAATCAGATTTGGGGCGAATATGAGGCAAAAGAGCCCTCCATGATCTCTTATCTCGCCAAGATCAAGTCAGTCATAGCGAAGCTGAGAACTTTTGAAATTGAGCTGTACCCAAGGGGCCAGAATGCTCAAGTCGACGCGCTTTCCAAACTTGCAAGTTCGACTCTCACCGAGCTGAACCGATCTGTATATGTGGAAGTGCGCCGAAACAGAAGCATTGACCAAGAAGCTGAGGTCCAATGTGTCGGGGCCGAACTGAGCTGGATTGATACCATCCTCGCTTATAAGCTTTAGGGAGAACTTCCCGAAGACAGAGTCTTGGCCGCGAAACTGAAAAGAATCAGCTCAAGGTTCATCGTCTATAATGGGGAACTCCTAAAAAAATCCTTCTCAGCCTCACTATTGAAGTGTGTGGGTCTAACAGATGCAGACTATATCCTTCGAGAGATTCACTTCGGCATCTGCGGAAACCACATTGGGGGAAGGACCCTGGCCCACAAAGCTTTAAGGGCAGGATACTATTGGCCAACCATGATTTTGGACGCCAAGGAGCTGGTGAGAAAATGTGAAAAATGCCAAAAATTCGCACCAGTCATCCATCGGCCGTCGCGAGACCTTCAGCCAATTCTAGCTCCTCTTCCCTTTGCTTAATGGGGGTTGGATATCTTGGGAGCTTTTCCCGAAGCTCCTTACCAGAAAAAGTGGCTAATAGTCGGCATTGACTATTTCAGCAAATGGATTGAGGCCGAAGCAGCTTCAAGCATAACTGAGTAAACTGTCAGGAAGTTTATCTGGCAGAATATCATCACTCGCTTCGGCATCCTAAGCTGTTTGTCTTCGATCATGGAAGACAATTCGACAACCTTCCGCTGAAGCGATACACTGATAAGTTCGGAATAAAACTGGCATATTCGGCAGTCTGTCATCCTCAAAGTAATGGCCAAGCCGAAGCCGCAAATAAACAAATACTCAAGGCTCTCAAGAAGAGGGTCGAAGATCAGAAGTCCAAGTGGATAGAGGAGCTCCCAGGAACTTTATGGTCACTTCGGACAACTGAAAAAGAGGCTACGGGGCATTCACCCTTTGAATTGGTGTATGGATCCGAAGCTAGTTTACCAGTGGAAATTGGCTCAGAAAGTCTTCGGGTCAACCAATTCTCAGCTGAAGAAAATGAGCATCTCATGAAAGAATCCTTGGATTTCCTAGACGAAATCCGAGATTCGGCCAGAGACAGAATGGCAGCATACAAACAAAGAATCAGCAAGTTCTATAACCAAAGAGTCCAGGCAAGACTCCTCAAAGTTGGGGACCTTGTTCTTTGGAATGCTGCTGCTGTTCAGAAAAGTCGCATCCATGGAAAACTCTCGGCTAACTGGGAAGGGCCTTATGAAATATACGACGAGCTCCAGCCAGGAACTTATCGGCTTCGGTAGTTAGATGGAACCGAATTGAAAAACCATTGGAATGCAGATGTACTTAGGAAATTTCATATGTAAAACCCCAATGTGGGAGAAAAATGTATGTAAGTACGTCCTCTTCCAATCAATAAAAGGCCTTTGAGCCGCAGTTAGTCACAATTTCGTTATGTCTTCATTATTTTTGTCTTCGTCATTTTTGAAAAAATTCAAGGTTTACACCCGGTGCTGTCCGAAGTATTGCATAGTGATGCACTGTACTTCGGTAAGCCGAAGAACCTGCCGATATGGGGGTAACAAATGGAACCTCGAGGTATTGCATAATGATGCACTGTACCTCGGGCGGATTTGTTGCTCTCGGCAAAGAGGTCATAGGCTTATCTAAGACATAGCCAAAAATAGGAATTGATAAAAGGCCTGAAGCATTGCATAATGATGCCCTGTGCTTCGGCAAATCAATTCCGGGTGATGATTACACCTCCGAAGTATTGCATAATGATGCCTTGTACTTAGGATGATCATTGCCCTGGCACTGTGTCCAAGATAGTCGTTCCCTCAGATGAATTAAAACCAGGCAGAATATAAGAAATAAACATAAGTGTTCAAACTGTTATGTGGCAATAAACATTCGGCTACGCCGAAAGAAAGAAAGCAATAAACTCAGAACTCCGAAGACCTTATCTTCAAAGTTCTAGGGGGGCAAGAGGTACTCACATACCGAGCTCCAAGCCAAAGCTCTGTACTTAGCCAAATGTTGAAGAAATTCAGGAAAAAAGCAATTAAATTCAAGGCTATTCAAGCAGGAAAATTGAGAAGAAAGAGCTGAAATTGTACTTCACCTATTCAGAAAAGTTAGATCTACAAATGTTGAGTTAGAACTACAAACACCAAAGTTCAGAATGTTTAACAAAAACTTCAAAGTCGGCAGCCGCTCACAAAGCGGAAAACACAGCTGCCGAAAGTACACAAAAACAAGATTATAAAGTTTGTACATGGCAGACTGAAGCAAAAGACAGGCAAAAGCAGAAGCGGAGATCATCAATTTAAGCGTAAGTCGATCCGCAAGACTTAGAGGACAGCTGCCCGAATTCCTATGCCTTGGCATCAGACTGAACACCTGAAGGGCCAGCCCCGGCTGAAGAAGCAGAAGGCTTTCCAATTTCCTTTGCAGCTTTCTCAGCTTCTTCAGCTTCGGCCTGACGAACTAGGAAGTCAATCTCTGCCTGACTAGCCTCGTTGATGCGAGGGTTGTTAGGATCCATTGACCAAGCTTCAACCTGATCCCAGTCGAGGTCCGGAGCAGCATGCAGGGCCAGGCGTCGAGCTTATTTCCAGCCATTCTCAAACCCTTCAGCAAATTCTTCTTCTGTGTAAATGCGGGTCTTGAGAAGTTCCTTCGCATCCTCGAGCTTAGACTTCTGAGCTTCCAGAGCTTCCTTCAGCTTTTGGTTGGCAGCGACCAAGTCACCCTGCTTCTTCTCGGCCTCTTCCCGAACCTGAGCAAGCTTGCTCTCATGGTCAGACATCAGGAGCCGCCGAGACTCAACATCCTTTTTCAGCTTCGCCTCAATACGGGCCTTGAATTCAGTAATGCTTTCGGCCCCGTACTCCTGGATGAGGGCATGACCTTCCTCCAGCCAAGGAAAAATGGTCCTCTCTAGATTCTGGTAACTGAGAGGAAGTTAGCGCTCATGTCTTGCATGTTCGATCTCAACCCAGACACCTCCTCTTTGGCCCTAACTTGCTTCAGCTTGGGCTTCAGTCGCATCGGCCTTATCTGCTTTGCTCTCAAGCTCATCATACATTTCCACAGCAAGGAAATGGTTATGCACAGCCTGCAAAGACAACAATCGCAGCTTAGTAGCTAGCCGAAGTGCAACACTTAGAGGAATTTTCAAAAAAAAAAAAAAAAAAAAAACGAATGAACGGAGCAGTAAGTGTTGGAAGGTTACCTGCATCAGCACCCTCTGGTTCTCCATAAGAGGGTTCGACACCTTCTCTAAAGATTCAGCGGCTCCGGTAGCAGTACCTAACATCCAAGCCCTGGCCCTGTCCAAAGCCGAGAGATTGCTCAGATTGCCGAAAAAAGTGAGAGCTGAGTCATGTCTATCCTCAAAAACTGCTCGGGCATGTGCTCGAACAGGAACCATGGGCGCCAAGCCGAAACCCATCTCAGCGGATTGAAAAGTTCTGAAAGAGTCCGCAACTGAGCTGGAGGGGATATCCGTAGGCTTGAGCACTTCAGCTTCAGCTAGCTGAGGCTCATTCTCATTAACAGCAAGCCCGGGGTCATCATCCTGGACACCCAAAGAATCCGCCTCATGCCGAACCTCCTCAAAAACGGCTCGGCGACGTGGCGAGGAGGTGAAGAGCGAGTTTGCAAATCAACCACCTCAACTACAACTTCCCGAGAGGGGGAAGTGACCTCTATGGTTGTCTCTTCCTGGACCTCTTCAAGCCGAGGCCTCTAAGCCGGTATCTCAGGCGCCCTGAACTGGCCAGGATGAACCAAGGGTCTCCTTCTCCCACCGGCCATCGGTTCTTCAGGAGTAGATTTGGGGACAGGGAAGGCTTCGGCCAAATCCTCTCTCTCTACTTTTTCTTCGTCGGACTAAAGCAGAAGAGATAGAAGGGGGGCAGATACATGTGTGAGTTAAAAAAAAAAAAAAAGAAGAGAACACACATAGAGTATAAGCACAGGTCTCACAGCCGAAGCCTTGTACTTAGCAAATTTGCACAAGTCAGACTAATCACAGCAAAGGATTGATAGAGATTCTACAAATCGTTCAAGTCCTAACATGCTGAACTAATAGAATGAGACTCGCACCCGAAGATTTATACTCGGCAAAAATTCTTACAAGTTAAGAAATTTGGGTATAGCATGCATATTTAAGCTGAAGCTACGCACTTAGAAAAATCGCAGAATCTCTCGCAAATTGAAAGTGCAGTAGGAAACTCACCGTAGTATCTAGCAGATACTCGTCGTTGTGGGCCTCTTTCTTATTTGCTTCCTTCCTTCCTGCCTCAGCAGTTGAGGCAGAGGGTCCTGCTTCGGTTTGCGGAGTAGAAGCAGCCTCAGCACCAGCAACTTCTTCAGCCAGGTGAAGGAAGAAAGGGTCAATCTTTTGATGCCAGGCCTTCTAACTTTGATACTCTAAGGCGTTGACAATTTCAAGCTTCCTCGGCTGGAGGGCAAGGGGCCGATCTTTAACCTCTATTATCTTCGGCGTATTAATGAGTGGTTCCCTCTCGTCGCTGATTCCGAGCACTTCGTAATCGATGCCCGAGTTCGCTTCGCACAACTCTGAAAATTTAAAAGAAAACGAAGATAAGTTTAGCTGAAAAAAGTAAAGTTCGCAAGTCAGCAAACAACAAAAAGGATAAAAGCATTAAAAGACTTCGGCCCCAGCCGAATTCCCCTTACGGACTTGGTATCTTTGGCTGAGGCCGACGATAGAGAGCATCTTCTCCTGGAAGATGTAATGAAAACAGGGCAGCCAAGTGCTCGGCACGTTGGCCATTCGGCCAGTAACATTCATTTTATTTCGACCAAATAACTTCATTTGGCGATGATCAAGTTCATTGAACTCATCGGGGCCGATGCTTGACATTTCGGGGTCTGGTTTTCTCAGGAAGTGGGGAGCCCCGAAATAATTCGGATGAGCTTCATCAGAGGGTACACGGATCCAGATCCACTGCCCTCTCCAATTTTTATCCGATGTGTTGTTCGGATAAGATGTGAGTAATCCCTTCTCATCTTCTATCTTCCACCACCCTAGGCCATGAAATCGGCTAGATTGGGTGTTCGGCGCAAGTTTGCGAATGCTCCGAAAACAGTGAACGCTCGGTTCAAATCCACAAAATAAACAGACCTAAATGTAGGTCATGATCCTTCTGACACTCAAAGGGGTTAGCTGAGACAAGGATATGTTGTATTCGTTCAGCAATTTGATGACGAAAGAGTGGACAGGAAATCGAAGCCCGTTTTGCAGTTGTCGGGTGTAGACCCCAATGTACCCAAGTTGGGGCCGATGAATCCTGTCATCGGCAACAGGCATTCTGCACCAGTACCCATCCTCTTCCATGATGCCGTAATATATCTCGAGTTGTTCGGCATAATGGTACTGGGCGTCGTTCTCGATCCACCAGGAATAGGGCGCAACCCTCATAATGCCCTCGTTATCCTGGACCGCGGTCCACTCCCATTCTTTGGGAGTCAGCGGCCTAGATGCCGAAGCCATGCTTCGGCCAAAGATACTGGCCTCAGCTGAATGCCTAGGTGGACGGCTGGACAAGGGCACTACCCTCAAGCCAGCGCCACTTGAAGTGGTGGCCTGCGCGGTCCCAGCATTAAGGTTCTGTGTGCTAAGGGGTGGCATCATCGACAAAGGGCGATTCCGCCTCAGAATTAGCTGCGACACTTCCTCCTCTTCCTCCTAGGCACTTGACTCGGGCCTAATGGGCTCTTTTCCGCGGTCGCCGGACATTTTCAGTTGGATGGAAGTTCGAAAAGTGCGAAAAAAAGGGGAAAAAGGAAAAATATCTCGAAAAGCAAAGAAAACCGAAGCAAATTGCTAGAAAATTACCTTATTCTGACTCGGAATTCGCCGACCGACTTGTTCGGAGAATCGGATTTGAGTTTAAAGCTTCGGATTGCGAGAAAACAGCGAAAAGAGAAATCGGGGTAATGCGCGTGTCTGGAGAGTTCTGGGTTCGATTTTGTGAAAGTGAAGATTGAAAGAAGTGGGAGTGCTCTTATGTATGTTCTTGAATTCAGTTTTCGGAAATTAAAGGGATACTAATCACCCACTAAGCACTATTTCAATTCGTGGCTACTCAAATTCTTCCCATTCAATTACAACCGCCAAAATTAAACTTCCCATTAAATTCTCTCCACTTCCCCATTATCCTTAATCAATTTTCATTAAGGTTGGTTAATTATAAATTAACGGTTAAAATCCGTACAAATTCCTCAAACAAAATTCAAATTATTTTCATTTATTTCCCTCCAAATTTCT